GACATCGCTGCATTGTATTGTATTTTATTCGTATCATTCCGTCGTTCTTTGTTTGAAAGGATAGCTTCAGTTATATGGAGAGATGATTCACTATATTATTGCAGGCAAACGTTTGTGTATAATGAAACTTGCCAGTGCTGTAGAATTATTTCTATCGATTGCAAGTGTCGTGCTTGAGCGACGGGAAGATCTTCTCAAAAGCGGTGAAAATGTATCCCTGCAAGAATTGTTTTTGGACGGCACTACTGAAAGATCTCATCGTCAAGGAAGAATCGTCGTGGTGCCTCCGATGTTCACACAAAATCTCTGCGTTTTCGGTGAGCAATCGTCATTTGAAAAAGCGTATTCATAAAATGTTTTTATTTCTTTCTCAGGATTGATCTTTGGTGTGCCGTTGTCGTTTCTGATTCCGGTGGTGAGAATTCAAACTTCTCCAGACGACGAGGAGGACTCGGAAGAGGACGAAGATTCACGCAGACGACAAGATGTCGATGTTGATGATGATGAGAGAGACATCGTTCCTCCAATTAAACAACAAATCTTTCAGGAAGATGAATCTAATGATCCAGGTGTCGCTCCTTTTGCGTTGGCGAACATCTCGGCACCCAGGAGTTTCGGTGACTCGTCTGCTGAACTAGTCGAGGAATACGATTTGGATTTAATGCATGAGGACAACCTCGTAACTTTAAACAACTACTTTGACTACATGGAGGTGAAACTAGATTTTGTTTGTATATTCAGCAATTTTTTTTTAAATAATGGTTTTGACTGCCACCAGGTAAAAACAGAGGTCTGTAAACGGCGGATGATTTGCGAACTTGCGGCTTCACCTGACTCATTTTACCCAGTCAGCGATATCATGCTACGAAAAATTCGGTAAATCAACATTTCACATTTTCAGCAACGAATGAACATGATGAACAAATTATATTTTCCAGCCCGAAAGCAACTTTGGAAACATCCGAAAATGCCAGGAAACGCAGCATATTCAATAAGTTTCTCGAAGCTTCGAAAATTGGGTTCAACGGCGATTCCAGCCTGTGCCAAAGTCGATTCAGTAGGTGCAAAAATGGCTTAGGGGAAATCATCGACGCGAATATGCTTCGAA